CAGCCCTTGGTTTTATTGACCTTTTGGATTGTTTCATGTCATTAATTTCTGCTCTAAGTTTTGTTATTTCTTTCTTTCAGCCAAATTTGAGTGCCCTTTGTTGGCCTTTTTCTAAGATCTTGAGCTGTGATGCCAGGTTATGTATGTAGGTGCCTTCTTCCTTCCTTAGGAACGCTTGTAAAGCTATAAATTTTCCTCTTAACATGGCTTTAGCTATGTCCCATACGTTCTGGTAGCTCATGTCTTCATTCTCATTTGTTTCCAGGTATCTTGAATTCGTCCTTGACTTCCTTCTTGGCCCACTCATTGTTCAACATTAAGTTGTTCAATTTTCAGGTGTTTGATTTGTTTCTCGGTGTCTTTGTATGATTCACTTCTATCTTCAGTGCATCATGGTCCGAAAACATTGTTGATACTACTTCTATCTTCCGAATTCTATTGAGGAATGTTTTGTGGCCTAGCATGTGGTCTATTTTGGAAAATGTTCTGTGTGCACTGGAAAAGAATGTGTATTCTTTTTTCTTGGGATGTAAAGTCTTGTATAGGTCTATTAGCCCCCTCTCTTCTATTTCTTCCCTCAATGCCAATGTCTCCTTGTTGAGTTTTGTTCTTGTTGATCTATCCAGAAGTTATAAGGAGATGTTTAAGTCTCTGGCTACTATTGCATTGCTAGCAATGTCCTCCTTAAGATCTGTTAAGCAGTTATTTTAAGTATTTAGCTGTTCCCTCATTAGGTGCGTATACATTTAAGAGTGTGATTTCTTCCTGTTGTACACATCCCTTGATGAATAGAAAATAGCCTTCGCTGTCTGTTCTAATCTTTGTCAACCTGAAATTGATGTTGTTGGATACTAGTATGGCCACCCCCACTTTTTTGAGGGAGCTGTTTGCTTGCAGGATTGTTTTCCATTCTTTAACTTTGGGTCTGTTTTTGCTCTGATTGTTCAGATCAGTTTCTTGTAGACAGCAGAATATTGGTTTCAGTTTCCAGATCCATTTTGCACCTCTGTTTCTCTTGATTGGTGCATTTAGACCATTGACATTGAGAGAGATTATTATCAGAGGGTTTTGTGCCATCTTTTTGTAGGGATTGTTTGTGCTTATAAGTATTTTTCTTTTTATCTTACAGGATCCCCTCTAATTCTTCTTTTAGGTTTGGTTTTGAGTCTATGAAGTTCCTGAGTTGCTGCTTATCTATAAAATGGTGTATTGCTCCATCGAGTTTGAGTGAGAGTTTAGTTGGATAAAGTACTATGCTGAGGCGTTTATTTCATTGAGTGTTTTCACTATATCCCACCATTGTCTTCATGCTTGAAGGGTTTCCTCTGATAGGTCTACTGTAAATCTAAGGGGTGCTCCTTTGTATGTGATTTGCTTCTTTGACCTTGCTGCTTGCAATATTGTGTCTCTATCCATGGCGTTCATCATTCTGACCATGATATGCTTTGGAATGTTTTTATTAGGGTCTCTTTTAGCTGGCACCCTTCTGGCTCCTAGGATCTGGATGTCTTCATTTTTTAACTCTTCATTTTTTAATTCAGCAATGATTTCTTTCACTGTGGCTTTTTCATTGGGTTTGCCTCCCTGTCCTTCTGGTTCTCTGATGATTCGAATGTTCTTTATCCTGCTGTCATCCCCTAGGTCTCTGATTTGCCTTACAGCTATTTTGAGGTCTTTTTCCATTGTTTGTTGTTTCCTGTATGATTTCTGTTGCTCATCTTCAAGCTCACTGATCCTATCTTCGGCTGTAGTCATTCTACTGCTGAGGGCACCCACTGAGTTTCTAATTTCATCTACCAGATCCTTTATTTGTGACACTTCTTTTTGTAGCTTTTTCATTTCTGCTCTCATTTCTTCCTGTATTTTCTCGACTATCCATTCCAATGTTTCTTTCATTTCTTCCTTTAATTTTCTGGATGTCTGCTCCATTGATTCTTTGAGTAGTTCCTTGAACATCCTCAGCATTTCATCTCAGAATTCTTTATCAGAGAGAACATATTTGTGGGTAACCTCTGTTCAGGAATAGGGATTATTTTCTTCATTCTCTACTCGTAGTAGAGATTTGCACTGTTTCCCCATGCTGTTGTGGTTTTCTAGAGGTAAAACCTTGGAATTCACTAGCACTGTTCTCTCTTATTGCGGGAAAGGATTTTAAATAAGTTTGGTGATAGTGGTCACCCTTCTCTCCTTCTAGAATATGTCTTCCTCTCAGGCATTATTCTATGGCTTATGACAAGCATCTAGTGAAGCGTTGGAGAGGTGCTCTTTTATATTGGACTTGTACAGCTTCTTGCGTACTGGTCTCTTATTGGAGTTGGAATAGGCCAGTGGATTATTGTTGTATTGTGGTTGAGGCGACCAGGACTTTTTCCACAGAATTAGGTGATAAAGGCTGGGATGTGAGTCGAGAGTACTGGGAGTGGGAAATATAACTGCGACCGCCTACCACACAGAAGGCCACACCCACTTTGGGGAGGCCATGCCCCTAGGGTGGAGGCCACACCCCGGCCAGTCCAGGGATGTGCTGACCTAGGAAAATGCAGAGGAGAGTGGCGCCCCAACAAGGTGGGGAGGGGGGAGCATCCTGCGGAACTCAAGCAGGTGTTCCCCAAAGTCTCCTCTGGCTGCATGGTGCTGGGGGCATAGCACAGGAAAAGGGGAGCATGTGCAGGGCATGGGACAGGGACATGCTCTCCAGCTCCCCAACGAACCTGCAGTGGGATTCTTATTGATGATGAGTACAGAGTAATGCTAGTGTCTCTTGTCCCCTATATTCATAATTGAGAAAAAATTTAAATAAGAAAAATAATTTTAAACTAGATAAATGAAATTTATTCCTATCCAAGTTCACCCTAATTAAGAACCTTGCTTTAAAAGGATAGCATTGCACTATAGCACTGTTGTCCTGTTGTTCACTGATTTGCTCAAGCGGGCACCAGTAACGTCTCCTTTGTGAGCCTTGTTGTTACTGTTTTTGGCATATCGAATACGCCATGAAGAGCTTGCCAGGCTCTGCCATGTGGGCGGGATACTGTTGGTAGCCAAACCAGGGCCAGCTGCATGCAAGGCAAATGCCCTACCCACTGTGTTATTGCTCCAGCCCTTCAAAAGGATATCCAAGAGAAACTATAAAGTTTACAGAGGCCAGTAGAGCATATTTCATTGCTGGTATGAACAGAACACTTGCCAAGGAGTGAACCATAGTAGCATCAAAGAAATATCTAAGAGGACGAAGACCCACTGGCTCCGGGCACATCTCTTCCATTCCACTGTTCTCCCTGCATTAACATATGCCTCAGAGACCTGGGTCCTCTGAAAACAGGATGAGAATGCTATCTATATCTCCCAAAGAGGAATCGAAAGAGCTATGCTTGGAGTATCACACTTTACTCAAGTGAGAGAAAGAATCGGAGTTCCAACCTCCCTTGACGATCAAGAACCAGGGGTGCTCTCTCATTTGCCAAGGCGTAGAAAATCAGATGGGCTGGACACATAATGTGATTTGCAGACTAGGGCCATTACCAACGATTCCACGTTGGTAATGTCAAAAGATCACGTGGCCACCCACCTACGAGATGGTCAGACTTCTTCGTCAAGACCCTGAATGATCAGTTTGAGGTTCTTTGTGTTCCTAAAGTGAGCAGATGCCATTGGGCTACACTAGCATGTGACAGGGATGAATGGAGACATTACTGGAGCCCGCTTGAGCAAATCAATGAGTAACAGGATGTCAAGTGATCAAGTATTCCAATAAACTTGCTTTGAAGGGAAAAATTAACTCAAATTTTTCTAGAAACATACAAACGTCTTAGCAGCTTTGATATTTTACCATCTACAAGGATTTTCTGAAAGATCAGATAAAAGGTATTAAGCACTTATTTTTTTTTTAATCTTAGAAAATGTAGGGTTTTTTTAAAATTTTTTTTATTAGTGAATCACCTTGAGGTACAGTTGTAGACTTACAAATTTTTGTGCTTGGGTTTCAATTATACAATGATCAAGTACCCATCCCTCCAACACTGCCCATCCTCCACCACCACTGATCCCAGTACCCATCCCCCCATCCCACCCTGTCTTTGTGGCAGGGCATTCCCCTTTGTTCTCTCTCTACTTTTGGGTAACTAAGCACTTATTTAAAGTGGCAATGTAATAAAAAGAATTTATGAGGGCCAAATTGCATCAGCTCTTTAGTACATCTTTCTTCCTCATACTTCACTATTATTACTATCAAGATCTCAGAACTGAGGGAGAATATTGACTTTTTGGTGGTGGTGGTGGTGGTTGTTTTTTTTTTTTTTTGGAATATTATCTTGTTTATGTGAGAGACTGATTCTTAATTTAAGGTTTATTTAAATGATTACTAAAATAACATTTACAAAGTGCTTAAACCAGTGCATTCAATAAATAATAGTTATCAGCAGAGACTTCCCTTTATTCCATATAAGCCAAAGTAATCAGAATCATTATCGTTAAAATTAGAAGGTTTTCATACCACTCCCTAACTTAGTATCAATGCCCCTGATAAAATAACTTTATTCAATGGGATTAGAATTCTAATAGTAAACCTAGAATTCCCAAATACAACCTCTGGCTTATCATATTCTTACATGTTCTACATAAATGCATCTCTCAATAATATGATTAAAGAATTCTAGGGGCTGAAGTGATAGCATAGCACGCAGGTGTTGTTAGCCTTGTACACAGCTGACCTCGGTTCGATTCCCAGCATCCCATATGGTCCCCTGAGCACCACCAGGACTAATTCCGGAGTGCATGAGCCAGGAGTAACCCCTGTGCATCACCCGGGTATGACCCCAAAACAAAAGCACACTCACAAAAAAGAATTCTAGAAAATATCCATTGATGTACTGTGTATTGACCAGGATATTATTCATAAAATATAATGAGAATATTTCAGTTTATCTGCTGTGAGAATAATTAAGATGTGGATGAAAGGGTCATAATGGTAACTGATGCACACAATGGTATGTATTCTTTACCTGGTATTCTTCATAGGTGGCAACATAATGTGTATAGACGTTGCATAGACCAGAAATAACAACGGTCATATTCTGCCTTCCATTAGATGCAAATTCCTAGAAAGGGAAGATAGACCCCAGTAAATTCTCTAACTAAAAGAAGAGTACTGTCCCAATGAAAAGCTAAAACCAATAATTCTGACCAACAATTGAACAAGTTAGTAGTTCTAAAGCCATCTTTACAACTGCATTTGTAGAAGTAAAACTTTTCTACTACTAAGGTATAAATTTTAGAATTTCTTAAAAAGTATAAGGACCAAAAAAAGTATAATGACTGTCATTTTAGAACATTTATGTCATTTATGGTACTTACTAAATATATAGAAGATCATAAAGATTGGTAAACAACAAAATTCCTACATGAATTAGATTTACTCTAGATAGAACTTTAAGATATTTAGATACATATGATTTATTTAGTAATTTCGATAGCACAGCGGGTAGGGCGTTCGCCTTACAAGCGGCCAACATGGCCGACCCGAGTTCGATTCCTCCACCCCTCTCGGAGAGTCCGGCAAGCTACCGAGAGTATTCGATATGCCAGACACAGTAACAACAAAGTCTCCAATGGAGACGTTACTGGGCCCACTCAAGAAAATCGACGATCAACGGGAGGGCCTTTACCTTTACCTTTTATTGATAAAACATTTAACTTAAAAATTTATTACATAAATACCAATAAAATATTTTGATCTAATCATAATTCCTTTTTTTAAAAAATTTGTGTTTATCCAACAAGTAATCCTACTTATCTCTAGCTGTTATTTTTAAGAGGTGAGAAACCATAGTCATTTTAGGAATATTAACTTTAATGATCACATAAAGAAACAGGGAATTCTTTTCACAAATATTAATACAGAGATATTTCATTTTTAACTTACTTCTTGAACTGCCTCCCTAAGTCTTCGTCCAGACATGGTCCTAAGTCAAGAAAACAGAATTACTTGTGTTTTTCTAGTCAGAATGTGTGCACAGTATAAGGAAAGACTTGTACCAAAAGCCAAAAAGTTATCCTGGTTCATCACATAACAGTAAAATAAAATATCTAAGAATTCAGTGAAAGTATGAAACTCAAGTGGAGTTTTCTTTCCTGACTAACTTCAAAGCAAATTCTAAGCTGAAAAGAAAATGTTGAAGGTGGGAAATAGGAACAATAAATATCACAATTAATTTCTATTCATTGATTTAAAAATTACTGTGTTCTTGGGTTGGAGCAATAGCACAGTGGGCAGGGCATTTACCTAGCACATGGCCAACATGGCTGACCCAAGGTTCGATTCCTCCGCTTCTCTCAGAGAGCCCGGACACAGCAAAGTCTGACAAGCTACCCGTGACGTATTCGATATGCCAAACACAGTAGCAAGTGTCACAATGGAGACGTTACTGTGCCCGCTCAAGCAAATCGATGAACAACAAGAGGACAGTGGCAGTGGCAGATTAATAACACTAAAGGCAAGTAGAAAATGATCCTCCCTACAAAGAACTTATCATTTAATTCTTCAATAAAACATTACTTCTCTACCAAATCTATTTCTACCATGTCTACTGTTACTAAGGACACAACAGTAACTAAGTCATTTACAGCCTAGGGAAGGAAATTGGTCAGCAAATATAAATGAGAGTTTAAACAAAGCATATTTTCAAAGCTCACAAATGCTCTGGAGAATAATAAAGTCAGGTTAAGATGAATGGTAGTGGTGGAGGTCACTGTGGTCCTATTAATGCTGGTGCTGGTGGTGATGTGATGCTTTAGATGATTTAGAAAGACAACGTCATATAGGAAAAGCAGGACTGGCATTTCCATTAGCCATCTCAGTAGAGATGGAGCAACAACAACAACAACAACAACAACAACAACAAATTGGTCATAGAGACCAGAAGAAGGTAAGTTTTGTGGGGAAAAAAAAAAACTGGAGATTCAAAACCCCTAACACAGGAGCATGCTTGGTGTGCCTGGCAAATGCAATTAAGTAAAGGTGTCAGAAGTAGGAGTGAGCAAAAGGAAGATGGAATAACATAAAATCAGAAAGACTTCCAAGTCCACGGGATGCAATAAGTCTTATGTGATATTGTAAACATTTGAGTATTTACTTAAAATAAGTTGGGAAGCAATGAAGGGTTTTCAATGATAGTATTACTGTGGCCATTTTGTTGAGAAAAACGCACACACACACACCCACACATGGAAAAAGAAAGGAAGCAGAAAAGTGAGACGAGACTGGCTTAAGTCAGTTTGGGAGTAAATGAAAATGTTGGGTAGATCAAAAAGTTCGATGACGGATTTGACTGGAAGAGGGAAAACTGAAAAAGTGAACCTTCAGGAATTTCCAACACTCCAGGAATTAGGATCTCAGTAAAGATTCCTCTTAAAAATGCTTAAACCAGGGACTGGAGCAATAGCACAGCGGGTAGGGCATTTGCTTTGCATGCAGCCAACCCGGGTTCAATTCCCAGCATCCCATATGGTCCCCTGAGCACCGCCAGGAGTAATTCCTGAGTGAAGAGCCAGGAGTAATCCCTGTGCATCGCTGGGTATGACTCAAAAAGAAAGAAAAATGCTTAAAACACTTACAAGTTCAGAAATACTTTAAAAGGAACAGATTTAAAACATTATACTGAGAAGAATTTTGGGGTCTATTTTATCAACAAATTTCAAATATATCACACTCAGTGTTAATTATAGCCCTGTGTGGTACGTTACATCCTGGTACTAATTGATAATTACAAGTTTGTAACTTGTTGCCATCTCCACCCAATTTTATCACCATCCAGTCTTTAAATGAGGAAAAGAAAAATCAAAATCCAGGAGAGGTGGAAGTGGAACTGGAAGGACTTGCCATGCACGCAGCCAACCAAGGTCCAATCCTGTCATCCCATATGGTCCCCGGAACCCCACCAGGGGTGATTCCTGAGCACAGAAGAGGGAGTAGCCCCTGAGCATAGCTGGGTGTGGTTCAAAAACTTAAAAAACAAACTTTTCTTGGCTCAAGGCAGATCAGGTACTTGCCTTGCACATTAGATCCCAGGGGTCTACTTGGGATAGTAGACCATGGCCCCTGAGTCCACCAGGAGTGATCCCTGAGTACAAAGCCAAAAGTAACCCTTGAGCACAGCCAAGTGTGGCATAAAAACAGAAGCAACTCATATTTGGGGACTATATAAGAATATAGATGATCAATGTTAATTTACTGTGACAAGTACATATGTACATATATATATACACAAAATCATTATGCTATATGCCTTAAACTATAGCAGTGCTACTGATTCTCTCAATAGAACTAAAAAAACTTTTCCATAATTCTAATATCTGATAGAATTGTTTAAATTACCTGCATGCTAACATACTTTCAAGTATTTCCATTAAAATAATCATTTTGGAGTTATTTAAATTGGAAATAATTTTTCTAAATTTTATTTTTTAACCAAACTACCTATCAGTAACAGCCAATCATAACAATAATTTTTACTGGAAAAAAAATCAAAAACAACTTACGTAAGCTCCCCAGGAATGGCAGCAATGGCCAGAGACCCAAGAGTAATAATCTGAACATCAACAATCTCTGGATGCCAGGGATGAGGTCTTGACAACTAGGAATTCAAAACATGAAAGCAGTGTCAAGAATATTTTTTCCAACGGTTAAGAGATACTAAGTATTCACAGAAACTCCTTTTTAAATAAAGGAATCCTTTATTAAGATTTAAAATACTTCTAGCTGTTGGTTTCACTGGGCTTGTTTCTTGGGTTTTTGTTGTTATTGTTGGGCTTTTGTGTTTGCTTGGTATCCTACCATTATCCTACCATTTCTGATTTTCTATTTTATGAGATAGTCTTAAATAGCCTGCCATAATAAGAATTTCAAATGTTAATGTCACCGACCAATTAACCTAGACTTAATTTCTAATCAATGTTTCTCATCAATGAAGTTGGGGGGGAGGGCGGCAATTGTCACTGTGAAATTACAATATAGGAAAACAACAAATATTTCTTCTAGAGTATGGTGGTAACTATTAAAAAATGAGCTAAAAACTTCATAATTTAGAATGGATGAACATAATGATCCCCTTCTTTGACTAAAAGCAATTAAAATATTCAGTTACCAAATTTTGCCTGAGTTTCTAAATTTTCTCCTGTCACTGTCACTGTCACTGTCACTGTCCTCCCGTTGTTCCTCGATTTGCTCCAGTGGGCCCAGTAATGTCTTCACTGTGACACTTGTTACTATGTTCTGGCATATCGAATACATCATGGGTAGCTTGCCAAGCTTTTGCCGTGTGGGCAAGATACTCTCGGTAGCTTGTCGGGCTCTCCAAGAGGGGTGGAGGAAGAGAACCTGGCTCAGCCAGGTTGGCCCATGCAAGGCAAATGCCTTACCCACTGTGCTATCGCTCCAACCCAATTTTCTCCTAGATAGAGAATATTTATTTTCATTTTCAGATTAATATAGAGTTTTTCCTTCAATGTTTATTTTTCCTCTTTCTTCTTAAGGAATTTTATTTGAATGTTTGAGAAAATTTATCTTCAAATTTTCCTGTCAACAAATGACTTTATGAACATTGACATGACCCTTTGACATTTAGTATGTGAAAATACATGTTCCAAAGAAGTGTCTTAAGAAAACTGATTTAGTTAATAACTGTTAAAACTGAGACATGAATACATTTCAGGAATGCTTTTCTCTGGGGAATTCTATGTGAATACCCATCTAGGAATAAACAAAATGAATCTAAATAAGAAAAATTCTATCTTTTTCCACTTTTATAATGTTTCATTATTTATCAGAGTGCAAAAGTTCTAAATCAGTTTATATAATAGTCATATCACTTATTCCCTGGCTAGGCTTATAGTATTTATATTTTTAACATCAAAACTTTGATGTCTGGGTTCTGAGCAATAACACAGCAAGTAGGGAGTTGACCTGGGTTCAATCCCCTGAATGCCCTCTGATCCCCTGAACCAGCCAGAAGTGGTCCCTGAGAACCAGGAATAAGCCCTCAGCACAATTGGGTATGGCCCCAAAACAAAAACAAACACAAAAAGAGAAAACTCAGCAGTTTGATTTAGAATATCTAAGTAAAAGACCTATTTGAACAGAGATCTACAATTATATATTATTCACAATTTCAAAAACACAGTAATATTTTCATCATAAAATCTAAATGCATTACCTCTCCAGTATGAAGAAGGATTGGTTTTGGTTTATGGCATTCTGTGATTTCTACCGATGGTTTGCCCAGTATTTGATCTCGAATAGTGTCCCAAAACGGAATCCCTTCCAGTGTCCCTATTTAGAATATTTTAATTATTATGACACGAATGTTCTGAAAGTCACCTTTAAAAAAATATTTTACAAAAAATACTCTTAGGAGCTTCAACATTTGTTTGAAGTCGTTCAATGATTCCAAGCATTTTACATAATAGGAGAAGCAAATTTTGTTTTCCATGAACAAATAAAATAATAAAATAAAAATAATAAGAACAATATGACATGTATAGTTAACAGTAGAACTAACTATATCAATTTCTTCCTGGTTGAAGAAATTAGAAGTTAATTGACTTGAGTCTATGGCTTAATTTTCTACACCCACACATATTCATGCACAGATGTCTGCATACATAACTCACACATACATACACACTCACACATGCATCTAGGAACAAGAAAGAACAATAGCCATGTTTAAAATTCACAAAGTTCCTAGCTACAAACACATATGCATTTGGAACCTCTCCTTCATTAGGAAAACAAATAATGATTGCAAATATACATACATTGAATAATAGAGCACCAAAATACAAAAACCAAAACTGACAAATAGAAGAGAGAGATAGAAAACCAATAGTAGCTGGAACTCATTATTGATGCTAATATTACCCTAACAAAAAAGGCAAAGTGGTCACAAGAAAGAAGATTACAAATCAGCATCTCTTGTATAGATACAAAGATCTGAAATAAAATTCCAGCAAACTAATGCAAAGGATATGTATGAAGTAGCAGAGCACTGCCTTGCATGTGCAAGGCCAATGTTTCAATCCCTGCCACAAGATAGCCTCTGAGCACCACTTGAAGTGACCTTGGCCCCAAGTACCACAGGTATGGTTTCCATGGCAAAAACCAAAACCAAAATACCAACAAAGAGACTCCAGAAATAAATAAAAGGACTATATGTTATAAAGAACTAAATACAAAATAGGTTTAAGATAAAAACTTAATTCAACCAATCACATCAGTAGAATTTAAAAGTCAATAGATGAAGAAAAAGCATTCAGAAAAAAATTTGATGTCACTTCACTTTATGATAATTCAAATTAGGAATAAAAATAGACACCTTCCCAATAAAGGGAAACTATGAAAAAATAATATTTAATGTCATAATAATGAGATATTAATGTTTTCCCTGTACTTCTGGGAATAATGCAATTATTTGTACTTTTGCCACTTCTATTTTACCATATAGGTGAGACTGTACCCAGGTAATTAGGAAAGAAATAGAAGCAAGCATTGCAATAAAGAAATAAAATTTGGGGGCTGGAGCGATAGCGCAGTGGGTAGGGCATTTGCCTTGCACGCAGTTGACCGGGGTTCGATTCTCAGCATCCCATATGGTCCCCTGAGCACCCACCGCCAGGAGTAATTCCTGAGTGCAGAGCCAGGAGTAACTCCTGTGCATCACCAGGTGTGACCCCCCCTCCAAAAAAAATAAATAAAATTTGTTCTACTTTCTAGATTATATAAAACCCCAAGTAAACCACCAAAAAATATTAAAATGAACAAGTTCTACAAAATCGGTATATAGTTCTAATCCCATTTCTGGACGCCTGCAACAAATAATCTCAAATTTTAAGTAAGAAGAATTTCATTTACAGGGCCAGATCTATAGTACAACATGTAGGGCATTTGCCTTGCACACGGCTGAACTGGGATCAATACCCTGCATCCCAAATGGTTTCCCAAACACCACCAGGAGTGATTCCTAAGTGTAGAGCCGGGAGTAATCCCTGAGCACAGTCAGATATATCCTCAAAAGATTTCTTTTAAAAAAGAACTCCACTTACAAAACAATCATAAAGAGTAACATTCTTTGGGGTTTAAGAGTAGCCCAGTGCCAAAAAGCCTTGGAGGCTGGAGATCATTAGTTGCAATCCTGGTGCGGTGCACATTCTCACCTGCAGTCCCAATGGATCTGCTGTCTAGAACCCCATTCACAACTCCACTCTCAATCTCCATTGCATGAACACTGCAGCTAAACTGTGTTAACTGCAGCCAGGACTATAACCCTGACTGAGCACATGTGAGCAGCACAGTAACCCCCCAGCAGGCCCCATGCCCAGAATGGGCACAGGTACCAGAGTTAAGATAAGTACAACCCCAGAGAGCATGGAATACAAGCATCACAATTAAACTGTGTGACCCAGTGAGCACCACAACTAAGGGTGCAAGCACCACAATCAAGAGTGTGCAACCCCTGGTCACCAACACAAGAGAAATAAAGGTGGGGGAATATAGTACTTGAATAATTTAGCAAAAGTACAACACTTACACTCTGAAAACTACAAAACACTGTTGAAAGGAATTCAAGATCTAAATAAAGAGGCTTCCATATCATGGATCAGAAAATTCAAAATGGTTAAGTTTGCAATGTTCCCCAATTGTAGAAATTTAAAAGATGATTCTAAAATTTGAATTGCAGTGGACTCAGAATCACTAAAAACAATCTTGAAGAAGAATTTTAATAAGGCTTACATTCTAATTTCAAAATTTCCTAAGAAGAAACAGTAATCCAGAAAGGCTGATACACAAAAATAGATGTAAAGGGGCCAAAGCAGTAGCTCGTAGGTCTTGCCTTGTACTCGACCAACTTGAGTACAGTCCCCAGCATCTATATGGTCTCCTGTGCCCCACCAGGAGGGATTATTGAGTGCAAAGCCAAGAGTAGTCCCTGAGCAAGACCAGGGGTAGCCCCCAAACACAAAACAAAAAAAAGTATAGATCTACAGAACAGATTTGAAGACCGAGAAATTAAGTCCTGTGTCTATGGGCAACTGCTTTTCAGTGTATGCCAAAACTGTTAATCAGTTGTGGGTGGAGGGGTGTGGTGATCTTTCAACATAGCACTGAGAAAACTAGATAGCAATAAAGAACAAAGTTAGACCCCTCACATCTTATGTGACAGCACTGCACTGTAGCACTGTCCTCCTGTTGTTCCTCGATTTGCTTGAGTGAGCACCAGTAACGTCTCACAACAAATTGTAAGACCTGTTGTTACTGTTTTTGGCATATTAAATATGTCATGAGGAGCTTGCCAGGCTTTGCCGTGTGGGCGAGATACTCTTGGTAGCTTGCCGGGGTCTCCAAGAGGGGTGCAGGAATCGAACCCGGGTCAGCCATGTCAGCCGCATGCAAGGCCTTACTCACTGTGCTATCACTCCTCCAGTGAAAGTTAATTTAAAAAAAAAAAATCAAAGACCTGAAAGAGACAGCTAAAACTATAAAACTCTTAAAATAAAATAGGATTAATCTTTACATAAGATTTAGTAGTACTTCAATTTAGTAAGAAGTTCAAGAGCATTAGGAACAAAAGAAAAATAATAATTTGTATCTGATCTAAATAAAAACCTCAGTTCTTAAAAGGATACAATTAAGAAAGTAAAAACACAAACAGTAGGAGAAAATGTGGGCAAATAACATGTCTGATAAATAACTTGCATAGAGAATATGTAAAGAATGCTTACAGTTAAATAATAAAAATACAAACAGATCAATTTTAAAATGAAATAACTAGTCACTGTCCTCCGTTGTTCATCGATTTGCTCGAGCGGGCCCAGTAACGTCTCCACTGGAGACTTTGTTGTTACTGTATTTGGCATATTGAATACATCACTGGGAGCTTGCCAGGCTCTGCCCTGCGGGCGAGATACTCTCGGTAGCTTGCCGGGCTCACCGAGAGGGGCGGAGGAATCGAACTCGGGTCGGCCATGTTGGCTGCGTGCAAGGCAAACACCCTACCACTGTGCTATCACTCTAGATATTTCTCCAAGATACAAAAAATTGCCAGTACACACAAGAAAAAATGATCAAGGCCATAAACTATGAGAAAAATGCAAATAGAAATAATAATGAGATACTATTCCATCGTCTAATCCCTCCACGGTGGCTAAACTCACAAAGTCAGAAAATAACAAGCACTGGTGAGGATGTGGAGAAACCAGAACTGTCAAGCTGCTAGCTAGCTAGCAACTATTCCAGAAATAGTCTGGCAGGTCTTCAAATGATTAAACAGAATTACCATGTGTTCCAGTGATTATACTTTTAAATATATATATATATATTCAGGGAAAGGAATGAAATTATATTCCCTCTTAAAATACGTGCCAAATAAACATACATACCAGAATATAGATAATAAGTGGAGTAAAACAAATGACCATCGACTGAGTAGTACATAAACATAATCTGGTATAACCAAGTCTGGGAACAGAGTTCAAAGGGTTTAGCACCTGGTTTGCATGTTCAAGACCTGAGTTGGATCCCTTGTATTACATGAACCCAGTATTGCCAGGAATGACCCTCAGGTAGGGTCAGGAGCAGTACCCAGAACCACTGGATGTAGTCACCAAAAGAAACTGGTATAGTCATTCTGATAGAACATGGTTTAATTATAAAATGGAATGAAGCACTATTAATCTATGACAGACTATACCACACGAATATGCTAACAAACCATAGAAATGTCTACTTATATTTATAACATTATACCAAAGTTGACAAAGTATTACCAAGGAGAGTATTACTAGAATATATCAAAACACAACTTATTCATTGTTAATTAAAGGTTTGAAGATACGAATAGAAAACAAGAAAGAAACAGGTAAAATGGTGCCTGTCAGCTATACTGTTTTGTTTCTACACTCTCTCTAGAGTGCACAGTATTAAAATGAAAAGATGATATAGTATAAAATCTACAGTCATAATTTGTGAAAATAAATACAAGAATACCTAGGACTATATATTTTAGATGCAAAGGTCTCTATTCTCAGGATTTGGGACTTCTAGAGGAATTGAGGAAAGAGGCTCTAATAAACAGATGGAAGAGACAGCGCATATTGCCAAAGCTGCAACTACACCTATTCTTTGCAGTTCTGCGACTCCATCTCAGCAACAGCCCAATTTAAAATGATCTCTCCCAGCATGTGACCATATAAGGGAGATGTGTTACAAGTCACATCTTGATGAATAACATTTCAGGCAACAACAGCCTCTTATATGATGGTATTTCAACAGATTATATCAAGAAGACATGTATCAGGCTATGCCATTTAGATTTGTGTAATTAAACCTCCCCCCCCCCACACTACTTCCACGACCCAGCCGTCCCCACACTCCAGGACGCTTTCCGGACCCACGTGGCAGCTCTGGCCGAGACCCACGCACGACCAAAGACCCACAGAACAAGATAAGCGGAACTCTCTGAGACCTTGGACTCCAGGCTCGGCGGACCCAGGGACAGAGCTTCTCTGCTTGCTCCCACCACCACAGGTGACAAAGGGATTCTAATCAGGAGCCCCACCCTACCCTGCCCTGTCTGCTTCCATCAACCACCCAGGGATCGAATTGCGCACAGGAGACCCACCCTACCCAGATAAATACCCCACTGGCAGACTTCCACTCTCGACAGTACTTCCACTACCCACCCGTTGCCACATTCCAGGATGCTTTCTGGACCCGTGCGGCCGCTTGCGGCCGCGCGAAACATCATAAGACACTAAATACCCATATTCCGGAATTGTCGTACCATATTTGATAGGGTTCAAATATGGTAACACCTACAAGGGGGATTAGAGGTCACCCCAAAAGCCTCTATCCCTCTCGGAAAGACTGGCAAGCTACCGAGAGTATTCTGCCCGCACAGAAGAGCCTGGCAAGCTATCCGCTGTGTATTCGATATGCCAAAACCAGTAACTACAACTGGTCTCATTCACCTGACCCTGAAGGCTTCACCGACATGGCAGCACTGAGAAGGATGAGAAAGGAGAGGCCGACAAAATCTCAAGGCCGACCTAGGCTGCCACAACGAAGGAAGACAAAAATGATCGTCTGTACTTTCAATGCACATACGCTAGCATCAGATGCATCCATCGAGGACCTGATGGTACAAGCGCGAATGATCAAGTACGACATCATTGGTCTGACCGAGACAAAAAGGCACGAATCTCACCATGCAGTTTTCGACACTGGAGAAGAATTGTTCCTTGGAACATGCGATAAAAGAGGTGTTGGAGGCGTCGGTGTCCTTGTCAACACAAACTTGGCCAAGAGCATTGATTCATTCGAATGCCTAACAACCCGAATCGGACGTTTACATTTGAATAGATGTGGCTCACTGCCTGCAGTTTCTATCTTTGTTGTCTACGCACCAACATCTCATTATGATGAAAGAGAAATCGAGAAGTTCTACATGGAGCTAGAGAAGTTCTATAAAGAAGACCACACCTTCTACAAGATCATTGTGGGTGATTTTAATGCCAAGATAGGACCGAGAAGATCAGCTGAAGAACTTCACATCGGGACCCATGGCCTAGAATGGAACGAACAGGGTGAGAGACTGTCTGAGTTCATCATGTCGACCAAGACCATTCATGGTAACTCACAGTTCCAGAAGGCAGAATCTAAACGATGGACATGGGAGTCTCCCGATGGACAATTCCACAACGAAATAGACCACATCATATTCAATCGACGGGTTTGCCTGACTGATGTCGCTGTTGTCCCAAAATTTTGAACGGGATCGGACCACCGCCTCCTTCGTGCAAAATTCTACTTCACAGAGCGGGGAGAAAGGGCTGCAAAGCTCAAAAAGAGAACTCCCAGAATGACCACCAACTGGGAACTCTTTGGTACTATTGAGGCAACATGGGAAGATGCCATTGTTGACAACATTGACAAGGAATACGATCGACTGGTTCAGCACCTCCATGAATGTGCGAGGAACGCCAAGAGAGAGATAGCCACAAAAAATCGCCTATCTTCGAAAACTCTTGAGCTAATTCGCCAGCGTGGTTTGGCGCATGCCTTAGGCAACTGCAAGCTAATGTCCGAGCTCGCAAAGCAGTGCAGAGATGCGATCAAGGAAGACCTCAAAGAGAGAAGAGCAGAAGTACTGGTAGATGCGGCAGAAGCTGGGAAAAGTATTCGTAACGCCCGCCTGTCCTTCGCCAACTACAAGACCAAGATGACTGCCCTCCGACGTCCTGATGGATCCATCACATCCTCCAGAACGGCAATGGAGAAGATTATCCATGACTCTACTCAAATCTCTTCGATAGCCATGTCCACTTGCCAACATACCAAATTCCACAGGATGGATATGTCGTTCCCAATGTTCTCCCTTCTGAAATCTGACACGCCATTTCGTCGGTAAAGAAACAAACAGCACCTAGCCCAGACAAGGTCAGACCTGAACACCTGAAGAACCTGCCGTCAGTACGCATCAATACACTGGCTCGGCTCTTCACATGCTACCTGTATGAATGCAAGGTTCCGTCCCAATGGAAAACCAGCAGGACCGTACTACTGTTCAAGAAGGGAGACATCCATGACATTGGCAACTATCGCCCGATCTGCCTATTGTCTGTCATCTACAAGCTGTTCACTCGAGTCATCCTAAATAGGATTGGCAGAACACTAGATGAAGGACAACCATGCGAGCAAGCAGGGTTCCGCAAAGGATTCAGCACCATCGACCATATCCACACAATAACCAAGCTCATTGAGGTTTCTCGGGAGTTCAAGATGCCGCTCTGTTTAACGTTCATTGATTTAAAGAAGGCCTTTGATTCTGTTGAGACGGAAGCGGTCATTGAAGCCCTAGCCAATCAGGGCATTCAAGCCCAATACATCAGGATCCTCCGTGAGCTGTATTGCGGATTCACTACCAGGATCTCACCATTCTACAAAGAAGTGATCGTTGATGTCAAGAGAGGGGTACGGCAGGGTGATACCATTTCACTGAAACTCTTCAGTGCCACCCTCGAGAACATCATGCGATGACTGGAATGGGAAGGAATGGGAGTGAAGATAGATGGTCGGCAACTACACCACCTCCGCTTTGCTGATGACATTGTTTTAATAACACCAAACATTAGCCAAGTGGCACAAATGCTGGCCGACTTTGACCGTGAGTGTGGAAAAGTAGGACTACAGCTGAATCTTATGAAGACAATGTTTATGAGAAACAGCCTCGTTCCTGATTCCCCATTCGCTCTCAATGGAACGACCATCTCTGAATGCAACAGCTATGTGTACCTAGGTCGAGAGGTCAACATGACAAATGACCTGGCACCCGAGCTGCGCAGGAGGAAGAGAGCGGCTTGGAACGCCTTCAAGAACGTCGAAGAAATAGCTAAGAGGACGAAGAACCTCCGGCTCCGGGCACATCTCTTTGATTCCATTGTTCTTCATGCATTAATATATGCCTCGGAGACCTGGGGCCTATGCAAACAAGATGAGAACGCTATTCAGGTCTCCCAAAGAAGAATAGAAAGAGCTATGCTTGGGATATCACGTTTCACTCAAATGAGAGAAAGAATCTGGAGTTCTGACATCCGTCGACGGTCAAGAATCAGGGACACTGTCTCATTTGCCAAGGTGTCGAAAATCAGATGGGCTGGTCACGTAATGAGATTTAAAGACGACCGCTGGACTAGAGCTGTTACCAACTGGATTCCGTGGGATGTCAAAAGACCGCGTGGCCGCCCACCTTCCAGATGGTCAGACTTCTTCATCAAGATCATGAACGATCGGTTTGAGGCCCTTCATGTTCCCGGAGCGAACAGATGCCATTGGGCTACACTAGCACACGACAGGGACAAATGGAGACGTTACTGGCACCCGCTCGAGCAAATCGACGACTAAGGGAAGTTAAGTGATTAAGTGAGACTCACACAAAGAAGAAATAACTTAATGGCACATTTTTCAGAATGTATTTCCCATTATAAAATGATACAAGTCTCTATACACAATAGAAAAGAACTAAAATTATAAAGTAGCATTATATGGCTATTTATGTAGCAATATGAGTACTATCCAACTATACTACGGTATGCATGCATTATTAAGTATATGTTACTTATGTAGCAATAAAAATAGTAACATATTCTTTATATAGTTATTATTTTATAGTAATCATTTATATTGCTATATGTGTAACTACTTATTTTACTATCTGTATAGTAGCCTACTTATATCTATAATATCTTACATGTAGAGTAACATAAGACCCTGAGGGAATTCTGCCTAGTGAAGTAAGTCAGAGAGAAAGACAAACACCGTATGGTTTCATTCAAGTGTAGAAATAGAGAAAGAACACAAATAAACAAAATTAAAACTCTTATAGACTATAAAAACAAAATATTGCCAGAGGAGGATGGGATGTGGGTAATTAAGTTTTTCTTAATTGTGGGTGCCAGAGAGATAGTACAGTGGGTAGAGAACTTGCCTTGCTTGTGACTGACCTGAGTTTAATCCTGGGCACCCCATGGGGTCCCCTGAGCCTCACAAGGAATGATCCCTGAACACAGGGCCAGGAGTAAGTCTTGATTCTAGCTGGTCGTGCCCACACCCCCCACCAAAAAAGTGAGGCCAGTTGTAATTTAGAGGACAAAAGATTGACTTTTCGTGACAAACACAATGTAGCATAGACGGACATTAATTTATAAAATAGCAAATATGTTGGCTATTTACTATTTTAAACATGTTAAGGCTAACATTAAACTTTATTAAAGAATAAAAATCTTAGGCTTTCAAACCTGGACCCACTCATTTCAACAAACTTCACCTCACCCTGTGAAATATTAAGGCCTCCAACTCCGTCGATTGTGCCAGCTGCAAAACTGTAGCCCAATGCTGGTTTACATGTTTTTACCTAAGGGAAACAGTAGTTAAATTTCAAGTAAGTCATGAGCTCAGTCTAGGGTGGCAGCCTGTGATCTCTAACCAGTGACTGAGGAGCTCTTACACTGTATGAGCTGTTGAGCCAGACAGTGACATCCGTCATGTTCACCCACTGATGGGCTGAAGCCAGGGATCCAGTCACCTCCTGGGTGGCAGAGGCAGACAGTTCCTAGAAAACACACACAGGATTATGGCTGTAAGCAAATGAATGCTAACACAGATGAATATCCAATTATTACACGTGAATTTCTCTAGCAACCCCAGTTGCTTCACAGAGGTTCAAAAGCCCCGAAGATGGATGGCCTGGGTGTATTCCCCCACAAATATGTCAGTCTTGTAACACAGACTGGCACCAAACGCTTTGATCTGTTTTCTATTTGAAGTAATGTTTTCTTGATAATTTGGTTTTAAGTGTACTTCCTGTGAGGAGTTAGACACAAGAAGCCGCGCTGTGACTTATGGAAGCAGCCTTCTCACTGACATGTTTCCAGCTAGGATCGAGCTTGTCTTCCTTACAATGATTTCCTAATGAAAATGTCAGTGAATTATAAATCAAGGTTCGAGGAGCTGGGTCGTGGCTTACCTTTGCTCTCTGATATAAGATCCGCCCTATGATTTGTGTGCTGTCAAGCATATTCTCCCCAGGTCCCTGGGACATGCACATGTTAGGCTGGGATAAAATGAGACAAAATATGTTCTTAGTGAAATAAGCAACTCTTTAAAGAAATGGAGAATACCAAGTGAATCTAAGCAAAGTGTTTTTTTTTTTTAAAAATTACATTCTAGCAAGCACATAGCAACAAAGAAGAAAACCGGCTGGAGGGCCTCACAGCTCCTGGAGAATGCTCCAGGTCCCAAATATCACCGGGAGGTCCCAGATGGGGTAGGTGCTGCAATCCGCCTTCTCCAGATGGAACCCCGGTGACCATGAGCCTCTACAAGCATAGCTCTGGCATGCGGGTACGAGGACATTTTTTTCCAAACCTTATATCTTGTATCCAAACATCTCCTTATATACAAAGTGATCAATGGAAAGTAAATCATCCAACGTTTCTCCCTGAAAATCAGGCTTAACTCTTTTGCAAACCACAACACCCAAAAGGAGAGAGAGAACAGAGGGGAATGCCCTGACACAGAGACAGGGTGGGATTGGGGGGGGGGGGCGGGAATAGGGAGTGGGAGGGATACTGGGATCCGTGGTGGTTGGAAATGGGCACTGGTGGAGGGATGGGTATTCGAAATAAATAAATTTTTAAAAACTTTTAAAAAAATAAAGTCGCAAAAAAAAATAACATTCTAGCATCTCTTCTCAGTTCTCTGAATCTAAAGATGAAAACAGCACAACCAATCATGAAAATGAAACACTGACTCTCTTTTGACCATGTATTCCAGCACCTTACTTTTGAAAATAAAGAAATTAAGGCTCAAATTTGTTAAAGGATTTGCCAGAGTTTATACAGATAAGCAACATCTGAGCTGAAACTGCAAACCTTCAACTTTCCATTCTGCAGCTCTTATCTACTTGTATGCTCTTGTCTGTCCCTTTTCCTCGTGATAATGTTAAACTGAAATTTAAATAGAATTTAATTGGACCAATCTCCTGGAAAATATGAAAACTTGTCTCTTTATCTTATAACACTGGAAATTTTGAGAATGATGGCATACTAAAGTATTATAAGTGGAATAAAATTATTTAAGACAATATGAGTAAATATGCCGTTAAGAATTAGGAAACTGAGCTTTGGAGAGATCATGCAGTGGGTAGGTCTCTTGCCTTGCACATAAAGATCTGGGTTTGATTTCCCAGGACCACATATGTTCCCCTGAGCACAGCCAGGAGTGAACCCTGAATGCAGAACCAGGCATAAACCCTGAGCACTGCCAGATGTGCACACACATTGGCTTTGGTTTTTCTTTTATTTTTAGAAAAAAGTACCCACATAAAGCAAAATCATATTGGATTTATTCAACATTCACAATGCTATGCACTAATTATATCACTATAAGGGCAGATGAGCCTACCACCCATCGAAACAAAGACCCAGCAGTCAAAAACCTCCACATTCCAATCGCCATGCTGGTCATGTCCAAATTCATAGGCTCTGGATGAGCTTCATCCAGGAATAAATCTGTTGGAAGACTCAGGTACGTGGGTTTTGCGGGCAAAATCTCCAGGCTCTCACGGAGATGAGGATGGGCTACCTCCTCCCATCTCCTTGTGCTTCTGGAAGCCTGGTAGTCATGCCCAAGAACTGTCTCTGGTGCCTTATAAGCTCATTAACTGGCCATGATCCAGAGACTCATAAATAAATCTCAAAAGAGATTAACAATAGGCAGAAATACCTCTGGACCCCAATTCACCATCCAGTTGAAAATTTAACTCCAGGGGCTAGAGCAACAGCACAGAGGTAGGGCATTTGCCTTGCACGCAGCCAACCTGGTTTCGATTCCCAGCATCTCACATGGTCGCCTGAGTACCGCCAGGAGAAATTCCTGAATGCATGAGCCAGGAGTAACCCCTGTGCATCGCCAGGTGTGACCCAAAAAGCAAAAAAAAAAAAAATTAACTCCAGCTGTATCACCCCATTCATAATTTTAGAATTCTCAGAGCACGTGGCCAGGACATCTTAAACTCTACACCATTGATATACTAGGAGTAGCACACCACATCAGATGGGATGTAAAGTAAGAGGTAACTAATCTCGATTAAGAAAAGATTAACACATAAGTTTTAACCTGAAGCACCATGTTAGTAATCTCCCAAACAAGGGCTAATGACTCTAGGGTAAGATACAACAATCTTCACACGCTTTCTTCTAAGGAAATCTTTTTTGATCATTTATAAATAATTATTCATACCAATCAGTATAAAATGAATTATAGAGGGCCTGCTATTGGGGCAGGTTTGGGTGATGGTTGAGAAAATTGGTGAGAAGTTGCAATAGTGGTAGGATTGGTGTTGGAATATTGAATGTAATAAATTCATCATGAACAACGTAATAAAAATTTAAAATTTTAAGTAAATAAAATAATCTTTAGTTGTGGTTTTAAAAAAGAAAAAGTTTATCTTTGTGCCTAAATAAAAATTAATTATATCACTATAAATATAGGAAGGAATGCAAAAAAGAGGAGGAGGAGAGAGGAGAGAGAGGAGCAGGCAACCTACCAATAGACACTCCATGAAATTCAGATGAAACAGGTGAGTTTCCAAAAAAATGGAAATGGACATACAACCTTACAACATGCTCAATGTCATGACTAAATATAAATTTAAACTTTGAAGGAAGAACCTTTGCGTATTGCATTGGCAAAGATTAAAAGTGATGTTTGTGAGAGTTGGGTGGATCTGTCACTCATGTGCTGTGGGTGGCAATGTGATTGAGAGAACATTGGCATAATATGTAGCAGAATGGTAGACATTCCTTCTCTCTGACAACAAACACACTTTTCAGAATTTTATAGAAAATGAAACTCATATATGTGTAAAATATATATAAAAGCACAGTGACACAGCATATTTATATGAAGGAAAGGAATAAAAAAAGAAAGAGAGAGGATGATAGAAGAGAGAGTAGGAAGAAAATAATTATTAATGGGGGTGGTTAATTTTAAGTATAGATTTAAAACTGAAAATTCTCAAGTCAATTATGTTTTAAAGTGGATCTACTGGATATTTGGAAGCAGGAACTAGAACAGCAAAAGCGTCTGATCCCATATAAATAAAATTGCATGCATATACTTATATTGCAAAAGGCATGAATAACTTGTCCAGAAGGATGTTCATTAAAGTTTCAAGCGAGGGGCCAGAGAGAGAGCACAGAGACTAAAGTGCTTGTCGTGCATGCTGCTGACTGAGGGTCAACTCCTGGTATAACATATAATCCCACAGCACCATCAGAGTGACCGCTGAGCAGAGCACACACTCCAATCCCAAAATCAAACATAAAATAATTGTGAGGGTCATTTAGAATGAGTAGATGCATCTTTGTGCATATTTTATTTTGAAAACTTTTCAATATTGTTTGAATGTTTAACCATCAAGCATTGCTAAAAGATACAGTAGAGCCATTTTCTAAATTAAAAAAAAAATATTTTTAAAGAAACCACAGTAAAGCAGAAAACACTTTTCCTTTCAGAGATGGAGAAATGAAAAGATAGTACATAGATTATGGTACATGACAGCATGTGGTCAACCCTAGTTTAATCCCCAGACCACAGCTGTGGTTTTGGTTGCTCCTATCCCAGCACTATGAGATGACCTGGGCATCCCTAATACCACAGGGGTGGGACAGTACCCCTCCTCCAAGACTTCTTGCGTACCATTTGGAGGCTCCTTCCCCATCTCCCCTGCCTAAAGCAAATGTCTGCTTTTTTTTGGGCTGGGAATGAGGGGTGAATTTTTTGTTTCTTTTTTTTGGGGGGGCCACATCTGATGATACTCAGGGATTATACATGACTGTGCACTTAGTAATCACTCCTGGTGATGCTTGGGGGACATATGGGAAGCCAGGGATTTGAACCCGGGTCAGCAGCATGCAAGATATGCACAATTACTCACTGTATTATTTCTCTCACCTAACTACCTCTTTCTTGAATGAATCCTGATTTGACCCAGAAAGCCATCTGTCCCTTTGTAGTCAAGGATTGCATTCCGAGTCTAGATAACTTAGAAGAGATCATGGCAATGCCAAGTGCCTGGGTCAATCTACATGTATCGTTCTCCAAGAAAGTTTTGGGTTCAGGAATGAGCAAGTAACTTAACTGACCCAGTCAGACTGAAGAAAATACATGTGCCTTGACTGGAGGAGAGGTTTTCTCTCTCCCTACTGTATAAGGCAGGATGGCAGAAGGGAGGGGTGAGAAATTCACTTACTTTCCTCACTGCAAATAAGAAAGAAGACAGGACAAAACACAAGGAAGACAGAGAGAAACATAATTCTGTCATAGAAAGGGGCTGGGGTTTAAAGTAAAATTTCCTGATTATAAAATGCGGGGAGAACTGAATAATCACTCAGTGACCTAAAGAACTTGTGTACAGACATGAGGCAGTACCCCTGGCACATACCAAAGTGATCCCGACAGCCCTACCACTGGGGATCCTGGCAAGGGAAAAATAGAAACGAAAGCAGAAAGCGTAGTCAGTGTAGAAAATAGGGAGAAAATGTACATAAATAGAATAAAAAGAACAAGCTACATAAATTAAAGTTAGAATAAAACCCACCTATAACAGTTTTCAAAACATGAGAATAGGATAGTTTTTAAAAAATGCATTGCTTCAGTTTTGGTGTTTTGTTTTGTTTTGTTTTTTGGACCACACCTCACAGTGCTCAGGGTCATGCAAACAAAAGCAGAAAGTGTGCTCAGTGTAGAAAATAGGGAGAAAGTGTACGTAAATAGAATAAAAAGTACAAGCTACACAAATTAAAGTTAGAATAAGACGCACCTATAACAGTGTCCAAAACATGAGCATATGATAAAGGTAAAGGCCCTCCCGTTGATCGTCGATTTGCTCGAGCGGGCCCAGTAACGTCTCCATTGGAGACTTTGTTGTTACTGTGTCTGGCATATCGAATACTCTCGGTAGCTTGCCGGGCTCTCTGAGAGGGGCGGAGCAATCGAACTCGGGTCGGCCATGTTGGCCGCTTGTAAGGCGAACGCCCTACCGCTGTGCTATAGCTCCAGCATATGATAGTTTTTAAAAATGTAGTGCTTTGGGGCTGGAGCGATAGCACAGTGGGTAGGGTGTTTGCCTTCCACGCAGCTGACCCGAGTTTGATTTCCAGAGTCCCGTATGGTCCCCCCAAGCACTGCCAGGAGTAATTTCTGAGCACAGAGCCAGGAAGAACTCCTGAGTATCGCCGGGTATAACCCAAAAAGCCAAAAAAAAATTTTTTAATAAAAAAATAAAAAATGTAGTGCTTCATTTTTGGTGTTTTGTTTTGTTTTTTGGGCCACACCTGGCAGTGGTCAGGGTCAACTCCTGGCTCTGTACTCATGGATCACTTCTAGTGGAGCTTGGGGACCATATGGGATACTAGGGATCGAACCTGTGTACAAGGTGAATGCCCTATCTGCTGTACTATTGCTCTGATCCCTCACCTGTCTTTTCACCAGAATACATTAATCTTCAAAACTGCAATTCAATGAATATGTGACATTATATCTCATTTACTGTTTTAATATTATGAGATTTTTCCATATCATTAAGTATTCCATTAAACTGATGCATAATGTTTGACTGTAAATAAGTATAACAATATAGTAAACAATTTCATCTATAAATTCTGAAATCAGCAAGGACATTTAAAAGCTAATATGAATTAATAATGTGTGACAATTTTCCAAATGAGGAGTAACAAAGGAAGGCTTTCTTCAAAAAATAATAGTACATGATGTAAAAGAATAGTTTTTAGAAAATATATTACTTAATGGGTGGAAGTGATGGGAACAGAACAAATAGTCCAGAAATTGAGTCTCATAAAAGTAATATCACATGGTCAGGGACATGGTCAACAGAGGCACATGTGCCACTCAAGTTTGATTCTTGACACCACAATGATGCCCTGAGCATCGCCTCCAGTTACAGCCCTGCAGGCCGAAAAGTACCACTGGGTATGGCCCTGGAAGTCTCCAACACATCTAGGTGGGGGGTGGCCTGGGTATTCCCAGAACTGCAGATCATTTGGCCTTTACACTGAACTGAGAATCAGCAATGAGGCCCCTCCCCAGGCCTCCTGAGCACAGCTTGAAAAGGCTAAGAAAAGAAAAAGTATTATCACTGGTAAAATAAACGATGCACACATAAAGCAAAAACTCCAGAACCATCATCTGTTCCTCAGGTCAAAATTGAAAAAAATATAAAGGAATATATGGGGAGAAAGCAGACAGCATTATTTGTTTTGTAAGGCTTATCACAAAGACCTATTTATAATCCTTCAAATATTTTTGACACAATAGTGAAAAATTTAAGTCCTGGACCAGCCAATTGAAAAATCAGTAGATAATAAAATTTTATTTCTGAATGCACAAATACATAGGTAGCAGAAATGAGAGTAATAACTCCTGGAAAGAGAGGGAAAGAAAATGAGTTGGGACTGTCTCTTTTCCTACTCTGTACTTCTGTGTTCTTTTACAGAAAGATTTTCCTTTTTGTGACATTAAAACAAACAAAACAAGCAAACACTGTCCTCCCATTGTTCATCGATTTGCTCGAGCGGGCCCAGTAATGTCTCCATTGTGACACTTTGTTGTTACTATGTTTGGCATATCGAATACGTCACAGGTAGCTTGCCAGGCTTTGCCATGCGGGCAAGATACTCTCGGTGGCTTGCTGGGCTCTCCGAGAGGGGCAGAGGGATTGAACCTGGCTTGGCCGGGCTGGCTGCGCACAAGGCAAACGCCCTACCACTGTGCTATCGCTCCAGCCTGTAACATTAAAAGTGGGGGGATATTGATCTGATGTTTGTTTGTTTGTTTTTGCTTTTGGGGTCATACCCAGCAATGCTTAGGGGTTACTCCTGGCTGTCCACTCAGGAATTACTCCTGGCAGTGCTTAGGGGACCATATGGGGTGCCAAAGATTGAACCTGGGTTGGCCGCGTGCAAGGCAAAGGCCCTGCTGTGCTATTGCTCTGGCCCCGATCTGATGTATTTTGTTTTAACCCTATAAACTTTGTGTTTTTTTTTAAATTTTTATTAGTGAAACACCATGAGGTACAGTTGTAGACTTACATATTTTTTGCTTGGGTTTCAGTTATACAATGATCATAACCCTATACACTTTGAATCATGAGAAATGTCTCAGGTACCAATAGCACCATGGGTAGGGCATTTGCCTCGCATGCAGCCAACCCAGGTTCATTTCCTCTGTCCCTCTCGGAGAGCCCGGCAAGCTACCAAGAGTATCCTGCCCCCACGGCAGAGCCTGGCAAGCTCCCCATGGCATATTTGATATGCCAAAAACAGTAACAACAAGTCTCACAATGGTGCCCGCTTGAGCAAATTGGTGAACAATGGGAGGACAGTGCTACAGTGCTACCAATTCTGGGTAACAATTTTGACTTCAGAAACACCAAGGCTGAATGTTTCAGACTCTGAAGTCTGTAGAAGGACATTTAATCTCTGGAATTTAAATTAAATTGCTTCACTATTAAAAACCTTAACAATAATATTAAGCAGATATAATTTTACATATGTGAAATTTATTAGGTTCTTTATAAAAGCATATTCTAAAGTTTTAAGTAGGTCAGTGTATATGTACTTAAAGAAAACATTTATAAATTACAAACGCATGTTAAAATGTAAACATACATTAGATGCAATAAAAAAGATTCTGTGCCTTATTACTTACCCCACCGATAGGACAAGAACTATTGGCATTGTCACAAGAATCTCCTGTATTGATACAATGGGGTCCGAGAATATTAGGAGATACATCTCCTAGATTTGATGATGCAAATGCTGCTACATAAGGTCCCTGACAAAAGAAACACCCAATCACCTTTTATTCGTTAGTTCCCATAATCATTTCCATTTAAAATGCAAATATTCATTTTACTCTGGTAAGCTATTCAAAATAAAATATGATAAAAATAAAAATATACAATATTCTAAGAAAATGTGATTTCTGACCTTTCACATACTATTATCAATATGCGTACAATCACTGGTGATAGTCCAACTGTCAATAAAGTCATTATAAGTAGGAGAACTTCAAAGCTGTGTCTCAAACAGAAACATTTTGACAAGAAACAAAGTATGAAACAACTAATTATAAAATGCTAACTGATCAGTCTAGTCTCTGGTGTTATTTCTGAAGCTTAGAGAGAACATTTCCTTATTGAAATATTTATCTACTGAAGGGATATTCTTGATAATCTTTCAGGATCAATATTGCAAGCCACAATTCCCAAAAGGGGAGAGAGAGAGAGAGAGAGAGAGAGAGAGAGAGAGAGAGAGAGAGAGAGAAGAAAAGTACGAAAAGTACCTGTCATAGAGACAGACAAGGGGTGAGAAGTGATGATGGGAGGGAACCTGGGGACACTGATACTGGGAAATGTACACTGGTGGAGGGATGGATGTTGGAATACTGTATGACTCACATCTAATCATGAACAGTTTGGTAAGGGTCTATCTCACAGTGATTCAAAAAAGAGTTCCAGATTTTTTGTTGCAAAACTCAACCTAAGTATATTCCCAGGATTACATTCTGTATTCTTTTCTCTATCTCTATTTTGTTGTTGTTGTTGTTGTTATTGTTGTTTTGTTTTGTTTTCTTTTCTTTTTGGGGGGGAGCCATATCTGGCAATGCTAAGGGATTACTCCTGGCAGTAATCCCTCATGGGGCCATATATGGTGCCAGAGATTGAACCTGGAGCAGTCACATGAAAGGCTATCCTATATCTCTGGCCCCTTCTAGCTCCTTAACCTAAGCAAGAAAGCTGTATTTTGAGGAACGTAAGATGTTAAATTCAACCCAACTTTTGTCTCATTCCACCTGACACGTTTTCTATTTTCCTGGGGATAAAAAGTTAATCAGGCATCAGAGATCATGTGTCTATTCTTATACTAAAAAGACCATCAATCTCAAAGTACCTAGCACCCAGCCATAAACTTGAACTTCCTTTATTTTCTCTGAAATGGAGCTTATCATTAAAAATGGAGTTTTGTAGCAAAGGCGCTGAAAAAGTCAGACTAAGTGTTCATGGGGCTAAAGTTTTTATTATACTGTTTGTTCTAGGCAAGCTCTAATGCCATCACATATACAGTACTTGGGCTTAGATACAGGAAGTAGAACAGAACAGTGTCACTTTTCCCACTTTTTTACTTGCAGTCATTATTTTAGAGAGCAGAGGAACTTCCCAACTGAGCTCCCAACTCTGCCATTCACTGTGTTTTCAAGTTATCAAAAGAAATCCTATGGATTAAGACTGTTTCTGTCTAGCTTTATTGTAGAAAAGTAGAATAAAGTCTCTGAAAGGAAATTTATCACGGAGGGAAGTCCAGATGAGCAAGCAGAACTTATAATTCATATTTCTATGCCCTAAAAAGGGTTTAATTTGATTGTTCTGAACACAAATTTAAACATCAAAGTGTTTATCCTATATTCAACAAAACTTCATACACAGCAAAAATCTTGAACTTATTCTTCTTTATCTGACTAATTATACTCTCGCAAATAGAATTTGCAATAAAGATTATTATTACTTTCAATTTTTTTCCTAATTAAAGAACAGTGAGAAATTTTTAATCTAAGTATATTAGAATATAATACAAATGATGACATTTTCCTCTGGAGAGTAGAATCAACGTTCAGAACATGAAGAATGAGACTCAATGAACTACGACTAAGTTTCTGGTGACATGAACTCTCACCTCTCCAGGTAGATATCCTTTGTTTTTATCTTGCTCAAGAAGATAAGCTGCATAGCCCACATTGTCACTATTCACCAGATGGTTGGTATTGTTCATGCTGACTGGGTGGATGGCAAACCAGCTGTGAAGGAGAAAGAGGTGCCAAAGTAATGTAGAGGCCTCCAAACAGTGACGAGGGGCTTAAGTTTCCTCCAACAAGGAAAAACTGTTAGAGATACCACGCTTATGGTCCTTCCTTTTTTTTTTTTTCAATTCTGGACAACACCAGGTGATACTTAGAGATAACTCCTGGCTCTGCACTCAGGAAATACTCCTGGTAGCTTTTATGGACCACATGGGATTCTGGGAATTGACCTGGGGGTCAATCTCATGCAGGGCAAGCACCCTATCTGCTGCACTATCTCTCCAACTCCTATGTTCCTTTATTGTTCACTGTCACTGTCCTCCCTTTGTTCATCCATTTTGCTTGAGTGGGCCCAGTAACATTGTGAGACTTGTTACTGTGTTTGGCATACCGAATACACCACGGGGAGCTTGCCAGGCTTTGCCGTGCAGGCAAGATACTCTCAGTAGCTTGCCGGGCTCTCCGAGAGGGATGGAGGAATCGAACCCAGGTTGGCCGTGTCGGCCGCGTGCAAGGCAAATGCCCTACCACTGTGCTATCATTTGGGCTTAAATTATAAATAACATTCTCAGAGGTTTAATCACTGACTTAAATTAAAAATATAGAATTATCCTTATGAATATTTCATCATTCCCATCATCCTCACAAGCTTTAAAGAACTAAGATTAGTAAATCATCCAATGATGCATCTAAAGAACTATATAGATATAGAATGTGCCCCTTACGGCAAATATGCACATAATACTTATTTGAATGTATCCAATTCAACAGAAATAATCTGAGTGTGAGATATGTGCTGAACACTGAATAAAGTCCAAGTTTATTCTCAGAATATTATAGAAGACAGAAATGAACAATTTTCATTTCTCTGTGACTAGTGTTATAAAAAGATAGGTATAAACCGTTTGGGACCCCCGAGGATTAGTTAATTCTGAAAGGCATTCCAGGGAGAGGGAATAATTGAGTAAATGAGCAAAGGAGTGAAAGGGAATATTATTCATCGTTTAATATATCCTATTGCACAATATACCTTGCTTAAGCATTAATCTGGACAATTTACAAACTAATTTCACATCTCTTATCTTATTGACCTTCACAACAAACCTGTGAGACAGACTATTGGTACGGCTATTCTGCATAGTTGTTTCAGAGAAGAAAGCCCACTAAAATAGAGGACCACGACTCAAGTATGGATCTTATCATATCTTATCATACAAGATCAAAGCTACACTCAGCAGAAAAATATATTCACAAGTGGAAAACTATAAAGTAGATCAACTAGGTTGCTCAAAAAAAGAGACAGAGAGATGTCATTTCATAAAGTTTCAGTCTAATTTAGGGTTTTTAAAAACTAATTAAAGATCTTCAGTGAAAAACTTAAAACAGTTCTGTAGCACTGTCCTCCCATGGTTCATCAATTTGCTCGAGCGGGCCCCGTAACATCTCCATTGTGAGACTTGTTGTTACTGTCTTTGGCATATCGAATATGCCCCAGAGAGCTTGCCAGGCTTTGCTGTGGGGTCGAGATACCCTCGGTGGCTTGCCGGACTCTTGGAGAGGGGCAGAGGAATCGAACTCTGGTCAGCCCAGTTGGCCGTGTGCAAGGCAAATGCCCTACCCGCTGTGCTATCACTCAGTTCAGCTTATGTTATTACATAAGTACCCCAAACTGAATATTCATTAAAGACTAGACATGTTTTGGGACTTCAATGTTATCATTCAGGATTTTCTCATTGCCCAACAGATGTTCAGTAAGTCCTTCACTTAATGTTATCAATAAAGTCTTGGAAACTTCAACATTAATTAACTGCAACATTTGAATGAGGCATGATGAAACTAGGTCCTCAGCTAAAATTGTTTGGAATTTTTTTAGAGCCACATTGGCAGTACCATATGGGGTGCCAAGGATTAAATCTATGTCAGTTGCCTAAAAGGCAAGCATTCTACCCGCTGTGTTATCACTCCTACACCTCAAATAAAATTGTTTCAGAGGCTAGAGAGATATTACAGTGGATTCGTACAGTACATGCAGAGTCTTATACTTGCCTTGCTCATATAAGACCTACATTCAATCCCCTACACCCCATATAGCTTCCAGAACACTGCTAGGTGTGATCTCTGACTGCAGAGCCAGGAGTAAGCCTCAGCCAAGTTAAGGCCAATGAAAAAAACAAAACAAAGTTTTATTCGATATTAATCTGGACCATTTTTCTCTGATCAATGGTGTAAATATTTATCTCAGCATTTATGAAGATCTACCGTAAAAGCAGGTCAGAGACGTCCAGCTCAATATTTAGGGGTTTGGCCACCCTGCACAAATGAATCAATCTGGTTTGTGCCATAGGACTGTGTGGCCTGTGAAATTTGGCAGCAATTCCAGAGTGTAAGTTGTCAGTCTCTACCATGTACTAGTAAAATATTGCGTTACGAAAGAATAAGCCAGTATTACCTATTATTTCTGCTCTTTGGAAAGAAACCACAGATCGATGTTTTTGCAAAGTATCATTGATTTTAAAAATTCTTAAAGAACAGGTAAATGATATGGAAACCAAGAAAGTCGTTACAACTTGACACATAAGATAGAGAGCCACCAATTGAGATAGTGGACTGTATTTTGCATCTGCTTAAAAACAACTGACTTAAAAGATTATTGTTGCCTTTCCGTGGTGACGGCCTCCCCACGAGAACATGCCTCTCGCCAAGGGCCTCCTTCACCCCTTGCCAGAGGAGGAGAAGCAGAAGCACAAGAAGAAATGGCTGGTGTAGAACGCCAGCTCCTACTTTATAGACGTCAAGTGCCCAGGATGCTATAAGATCACCACCATCTTCAGCCATTCACAGACCATGGTTCTGTGTGTCGGCTGCTCCACTGTCCTCTGCCAGCCGACAGGAGGGAAAGCCAGGCTTACAGAAGGATGCTCCTTCCAACGGAAGCAGCACTAAAAGCTCCCTGAACTGGATGAAAGGGAAACCATCCCAATAAACACATTTTGGATATTAAAAAAAAATCATTGTTACCATCAACTAAACTAAAATTATATTATCAAATAATATAAAGAAATTTTTTATTTTGTTGGTTTTGATAACTGATTGTATTTTTAAGTACTTAATGTGGTTGTATTTTCAAGTATTTAATCTGATAGTGTTAATGAAAACTTTATAAGTAAAATGATAAATCTGGTATTTTGTTTTAAATACTTAGTTTGCAGGAGGGCTTTCAGGCAGAGAGAATAACCAGAACAGCAGAACAATGCTAAATATTGGAGATGGATATTCATGGATTAATTATTCTAAATAGGTTTGTATTTAAATTTTTCCACAATAATTTTCCACAATAAATATTTCCCCGTGTTTATATACAACTCAAAAATTTTGTTCAAATCACCAAATCATTTATTCTGGAGATTGAATTCAATCTCTAAGGTGCCATCAAATTGCCATCGTGCTAAGGTACAAAGGTTTAGGTAGACAATATCCTACAGCTATCCCCTCTCAGTTATTTACAAGTTTTCTATATTTCAAAAATTCCTTTTGTCACTTTCATTTCTGTGGTTCGTCTCTTTTCTGAAAATTCAAGTGTCAAGGAAAATCCTTATCAACTAGAATTTTCTGATTAATTGAAATCTATATTTTTATAGTTTTACTCTATTTAATTTGGAAGGAAAATGGAGTAAAGAATTATTTCATGAACCCTTCCTGTTCTATGGAAGGAAACCTGTACAGCCATCCTGTCAACACTCGTATTTAGCACCTGTTGGGTAGAGAGATTTATAGACAGAATCACATTTTACTCTCCCAAAACCCTTTCAGTCATTTGATATCATTAACCTGGTTTTACATCTAAGAAAATGAAGTCTCAGAGTGATGAAGTAACCTGGCTAAGATCACACAGTGGAAAGTGAAGAAGCCGATTTATCAGACCAGAAGCCCGATGTTCTTATCTACTTTGGGATATTTGTTCTGTCCCTTCTTTCTGTTCATCTACTTGCTCATTCAATGCACATTTAGTTCACTTTGAATGTCTGCCATGCACTAAGGAAATAGAGATGAATAAAGTGTCATCTTGTCCTTGAGAAACACTTCACGGTGAATGTGATATTTGAACTGTGTCTTATGCAGGAACTTGGCAAGGGATCACTGGAGAAAAGTCATTTAGAGCAAAGACACAGAGACAAGGAAAGGATGCAATGTGCTGATAAATAGAGTGGCCAAAGCAGAATAAATCAGGGCAAGGAGAAATGGCAATTGTTCCTTTTATTCAATCAACGTGAATTATTAGTAGTCAAGTGTGTGACTGGCAGTGAGTTAGACCTCAAGAATCATCGGTGTCAGGTCTATATCTGTAGAGAATGAAAATACAAAGAATTTTTGTCTATAAGTAGACAATAAAGATGAATTCTTATTTATTCTACTTATTTTTGACAATAAATTAAATGAATTCCATTTTTTCTCTAAAAACAAAAAATAAGTATTTTTAAAAAGGTATTTATTTTTCAAGGGAATATGGGAACACTGGGAAGAAAAGTTGACATGGTGTTGGGACTGGTGTTGAAATATTAAATGCCTAAACACACAACTATCAATAACTTTGTAAATCAGTTCTTTAATTTAAAAAATTTTTAAATGTTTTTTGCTTTTTAAAGTAAGACATTTCCCTATTTTCCCTCCTCTGCTCTCTGACATATGTGCTATTAGAATATCTAGCTTGTTACAATAACCTTATTATCATGATAGAGATGAATATTTTTAAGTATATGCTGAAAATTGATTAATTTCCTTTAAGGAGGCTCTATTCAAATCTGGTCAAAAATATTCATCAAAGGAAAGTTCTAAAGGGAAAAAATGTGGATGGCTTCCAAAAATTTCAGACTAAAAATATTATATATATAAGCATACCACTAATAAACATTTTTAAGTAAAGTGTCCGATAAAAACAGGTTTGGGGGTTGGAAGAATGCTACAACCCATAGAGTACTTGCCTTGCATGCAGCTGACCC